ACATACATGTCGAAAACTGAGTACATTATTTCATAGAAACGCTTAACAATGTCTGAGGTATCCTCTGTGGAGTTCAAGAAAGTCCAATCCGTTAAGGATAAGTGGTGGTTCATTTCTGTAAACTTAGCTTTTCGAAAGCATCGAAACGTTGCAGGCTCAGCTTCCGGACACAATAATAATGGTGTGGAGGCTTCGAGGGTTAGCTCCAAAGTGGGATGATAAGCGTCCTCAGGACTAGAAAGAGGGTCAATTCTAGTGACGTAGGCATTGGCAAACTCAGAGACAAAGATGAGGTCTAAGACGTTATTACTGCAGTTCCTAACAAAATTTAATTGTCCCAATGAATGGTCAATGAGACCATGAATTAAATCGTGGGGTGAGGTGGGAACAAGAACATTTGAATCAGGTAAGGGCATCCAGGAAATGGAGGGTAGATTAAAATCACCCGTGACGATAAGGTGGTCATTAATACCAAGGGAAGAATGAATTTCTTGAATTAAGGATAAATGCTGCATATAAATATCAGTGTCAGACCTAGGTGGAATATACGAGCATGAAACGTAGATAGAATAATCGTAAACCTGGATGCGAACCGCCACAAACTCTATATCAGTGTCAGTTTTAGAAATGATATTGGAAACCAGATCGGATTTAACCGCAATGAGAACACCACCGCCTGTCCGTATAGGACGATCACGTCTAAAGATGGCATAGTTCCCTGAAAAAATCTCAGAGTCAGACACAGAGGAGTTGAGCCATGTTTCTGTAAAGACAATAACATTGGCATCGAAAGAGACACTATTGACGTGCAGCCTACTGAGCTTGCCAAGTAAACTACGAACATTTTGATATTGGGGAACAAAAGAGTCTATTAGTTTTTTGGAGGCCTAGTTGAAGGAGTTTGAGGCCCGCGAGCACGAGGAGTACTTTTGTGTTCGAATTCATGAACAATTGCATGCTTAGGCCACACAGAAGGATCAAGAGCCTTAGAAAATAGTAGGTCAGAAATTGTAATTTTAAACGAAGATATATCACGTCTTTCCTTAAAATTGAATTTGGAGACACTAAATTCAGTAACAGAAACATTCAATTTGCTGCTCAAGTGGGTCTTAACGTCGCCCTCAGAAGCATCTGGATTGAGGCGGGAAACAAAAATCTGTTTTTTCGAGCAACACCAGCCAAAGGCACCGGTCCGCGTTTGGCAACGCCAGAAATTGTCGACTGTTGGGGGCCGCTTCTGGTAACGGCCGCCACCGAGATAGTGACCACCGGGGGAGCCACTGGGTTGGGATTTGACACCACCGACGCGTCGTTGATGGCAGCAGCACGCGACGTGGATGCCTGATCGGTGTAGACAGGCTGCTGAACCGGGAGCATGGTGGCTTCGCCCCCTCCGAGAATGGGGACTGGTGCAGCAACTTCAGCAGAGGCTGCAGCGTGCAATGTGGACGCCTGGACAACGTTGACAGGCTGCTGATCCAACGGCCTGACAAGATCTTCAACCATAGAAGTTGTGATCGATGCTGCATCATCACCAGAGCCGTTATCCACGGCTGCAGGCTTGGCACGTGGGGTGAACTGCATAAGGGGGCATTCAGGGTCTGGAAGAGATAAGAATTTTTCAGACAGGTTGCTCCTGTTTTTGTTTGCGGGGTCACTTAGCAGTTTTAGCGACTTGAAATGGTGTTCCGCCTTCTGGAAGCGAGTTGACAACTCCTTAAAGCCGGCCGCCAACGACTGAAACTCCAGGTGAGCCTGCCTCATGAAGACCCGCATATCGGATTTGATATGCAGGCAGCTCGGGCACGTCCAGTCCAATCCAGGATTTTCACGAATGCGATCGGTGATACGCGATCCATTTTGCCCCAGATCGGCGCATCCAATGTGGGCGATATTATCGCAGAGCCAGCAGTAGACAGTGACATGCCGCGAAAAAATTTTTTGGCCGTTCGGGCACTTAGGGAAACAACACGTAGCCATTTTTGGAATAAAAAAATACTTTATCCAAGTAAATTACGAATTGGATTAATTTATTTGCGCGACGAAATGGCCGATCAAAACAAATAATACAATTGTTTATTTGAAAAAAAAAAATTTGTTTAAGTTTCGCGGCGAACAGACCGATCAAAACAAAAAGCGAAGAGCGCAAAAATAAAAGCTTTTATCTAAGCGCCGAAAAATAAGAAATTTGTGTTATTGATTTAGCTAGCGCCAACAACAACACAAGGCGATGCAGCGATAAGCGGTAAACACAATGCACAAGAATAGAAAGGCATGGCAATTGTAAAACCGAAATTGTTTTACGACGATAAAGTCACAGACTTTATTTAAAAAGGTCCGGTTGTTTACTGATTAAGAAGTTCACGGAAACACCGACCACTTGCCGAAAATTTGGGCTTTGATAAATAGGATTTCACTAAGAAAACTTTGAATAAATGTAGAGCGATGTAAAGCACGTCCAACTCAAAGCTCGTCGAATACGACGTACGAGTCCAGAAATTCCTAGGTGATCCTTGACGCTTCGTTTCAACTGGAGGAGTTAACAAGGAAGACAGTGCCAGAAATGTGCCCGGTTCATTGGAACATGGTAGGTCTGAAGTGAACAGAGTGTACAGTACTGGGCCCAGGACGCTTCCCTGCGAAACGCCAGCACGAACAATACGAATGCTTGATCTTCCCCCGCTCACCTCGACCATAAAACTACAGTCGTGCAGGTATGACTTTAATAGCAGGAATTGGCCAGTTGGGAGTAGGGACTTCAACTTATGAAGTAATCCATCATGCCACATGCGGTCAAAAGCTTCCATGACGTCGAGGAAAATAGCAGAGCTGAATTGCTTGTTTTCGAAAGCATTTAAAATGTGGTGGACGACTCGATGTGCTTGCTCTGGGATCCCATGATGCTGCCTAAAATCAAACTAGTGGTCGGGAATGGCTACCTGAACGCTTCATACTCCTATTATTCTACTAAGAAATATTTTAGAGTAGACTCGACGAGGCTCTCCGGTTTTCCTGGCTTGGTATCATCGTTATCACAGCACACTTCCATTGGGAGAGAAAGTGGTGGCTACGTAGCTTGAATTAAAAAGGAGAACAAGGAACAAGATTCCCTTTTTAGGCAAAGCCGCTTTACTGGAATGTAGCTTTCGGATATGAAGACAAACTTTATCTGGGCTTACATGTTGGATCAGTTTTTCTTCCGGGGAGGGGGCACTTATGAAGGCTAGTGTTTTTTCAACATCCTCGGGGTTCGCGAGGTTAAAAGGCTGGGAGCGCTTCTCTAGTTCGTCCGCAAAAGCTAGTAAAATCTCTAAATCAGACCTGCACCATGTATCGTCAGATTTCTTAATGTCGTTTAATATTCCGGGTAAATTTCCAGAGGATGAAGCCGTTCGATTTGGTGGGGTCAGCATTGAGGAGCATCTTATCAAAATATTCGCGCTTTGGCTCATACAGAAGCTTTTTAAGATCGTTTTCGGGGCGTCGATTTGCAGTTATGTCGAATGGGTATTGGGATCACATATATCTGCGCCGCAGGGATCCTTTCAATCTTACTAGATCCATAACCTCAGGTTTTAAATGAGCCTGAGGTGAGTTAGATGGGTTCGGTACTTGTCCACAGGTTGAGGACTCGGCAGCGGTATGAATATTTCGTATAAACATCTCAACAACGTCGTTGATATTGTCCGGAGGGTTTAGCTTGAAAGCGTGGGAGGTTTACATTTCGAAGCACTCTTAATTTAATTATAAATGCAATGTGAGCAGAGCTAATCTGAAGACTTCCTGAGAAGGAGAGGGACGCAGGGCGTGTCCCTCTGCGAAGTTGATGGTTGTTTGAGTTCATTGGCTGTAAGGATAGTGCGTAGGCCCTACGGTTGCAAGCACCTGAACATTAGAGCTTTGAACTATGTCGGCGAGTGCTCTTCGGCTGGTTGTTGAGTTTCGAGACCCCCAAAGGCGGTGATGAGCATTCCAGTCACCTGCGACAAAGAAATTTCTTTCAAAATGTTTTTGCCAACGTTTGGTCAACTTTTTTTGGGATATTTGTATTTAAAAAATATTTACAGGTTTACGAGTAATAAGGAATCTCCTGAGTCCCCTCCAAACCTTTCATAAAAAAATAGGGGGTATTAAGAATTTCAACAGGATAATGTACAGCATCTTCTACGTTAGTAACCATATCCTATTTCAAGTAAAGTTTGGGCAAAATCACTGGCAGTTTCATCACCTAGTAAATGTACACGCATATTGTTTGTAAGAGCCATTTTTTTTTTTTATTTTACACCACAAAAATAAAGATTTTATGCAAGGGTACAACTGGGAGCGTTTGTCTAAAATCTCCTGCTAATAGAATGGTATTACCTCCCTTTAATAAGTCATAGCCTCATATCTCTTATCGATCGATCTAGAGCTTCAAATTCACCTTTATGAGCCATAGAGCATTCATCCCAAACAATGAGTTTAGAATGTTTATGGGCGAATGCCATATTAGACTGTTCGGAAATGTTACAATAAGGTGTTTGTATATTTATTGAATTAAAAGAAGCTTAAATGCAGAATGGGCTGTCCGTCCTCCGGTTAAGAGCGTGGCACCATTCCTGAAGATGCAACAGCTAATGAAATTTTTTCCGAATTAAAATTATATTAATATTTTTAAATTGATTTTTTTTTTATATATATGATACAGATCATGATGATCATAAAAAATTCTGTCTCCATTATTATATCGAAATAATAAAACTAATTACTTTTAAGACACACAAAGTTCTCTCAAAAAACATAATACCAACAGCGAGGGTACAAAAATGTACATAATTTGTTTGCGAACAGATTAAAAAAAAAAATCGATTTTATGTTTATACATATATAAAATAATATTGCTGCTAATCCAAATTAATGATTTTACATATTGCTTTATTTTATAGAATTTATTCTAGCAATCGAAATAATATTGCTGCTAATCCAAATTAATGATTTTACATATTTGCTTTATTTTATAGAATTTATTCCATCAATCGAAAAACTTTTTGATGAAAACTTGCTTATTGGGAAAGGCGTTACATTGGACTCGATTCGCCCTCTAGCATACTCAACATTAGCTGATCTCGCTCATCATGTACGACAAAGCCTAAGCTTGGATGTATTAATAAAAGCCGTTAATCTGTTTTCAAAAAATGTTCATGATGAAAGTCTTGCTGTAGGAATACAAACTATGTCTTGCAAGCTTTTATTAAACCTTGTTGATTGCTTGCGGCATCACAGTGAACTAGAGCCTCAACGATCCAGACTTATTTTATCAAAACTGTTAAAAGTGTTTGTAAAAAAATTTGAGACTATTGCCAAAATTCAACTGCCGTTAATTATTCAAAAGTGGTAAGTAGTAAGTTTTAGCTAAGGTGCATTAAATACATATATGTAGAGTTTGTTTTATTTTGTATATGGTTTATTTAGATAATTATTATGTTGAAATGGATGCACAATGAAATATGAGGGATAATGCTTGCGAACAACTGCAGGCGACATTAGAAACTTTGACAACTGGTTTTCAACTTTATACAGAAGATTTATTTTAGAACTTGAACCCGTACGTGTATCGCTTTTCCATTTTTAACATATGTTAACAAATGGCTGGGGGTACTGACTCGGGTACATGCAACATAAAGTTGGTCAGGTGAAAAACATGATTATTTCAAATTTACACCACCATCGTTAAGACATCGCAAATGATAAAGGTACAGGATATTGCAATCGTTTTAACTTATATGGCATATTAATTTGAATCATAGGGATACGTGGTATGAAACAAACTTGTTTTGATTTATTAGATATGATATTAGTTATAATCAGATAAAGCAATAACTTTTACTGCCAATCTGGTGCCATTACACAATTTTGGTGAATTAATATTTCACAATAATAAAATCAAAGTAACAACTATCAGATTCAAGCAAGTTGGTTCCAATGAATCTAAAAATTCCACGATAATTTATTGTTTCATCTTGATTCATAACACTGTTACCCTGTATATATAAAAATAAATAGCATTTCTTTGTCATTTTATAATTAAGGAAGGGGCTCAGCTAACCAAACTGTTCACGCATGTACGTGTTCATGCTATTCATTTTGGTCCTTCGAGCCGTATCAAAATAAATAGCGCCCAAATAAGAACACGTCTTCATTTGCTGAGTTAATATTTCAAACTGTTTTTTCTTTATTCAGATCCTAGCTTAAATAGCTAACATGAGAATGTACGTTTTTGATCTTAGTTTTAGACCCACGCATCGGACAGTTCCCGATCGTGGGAAATACTCTAATACTCCGATAGCACATATCTTAAACAAACCCAGACCGCTCGCAGGAGGTCATATTTCGGGTTGCTTGTATTTTCATAGGCCCAAGTGGCGGTTGTTCTTATAGATGGAGAAGTGTGGTGCTGCAGGGACTTAATCGCTAACAGATGCTTCTTACCTACGTGCTCATGCGTGAACATTCTGCCAAGGGCCAGCAAGGTGTGGGTGTACATTTAAATTAGTTGTGGACTGTATTTATTTATTCGATATAATTCATTTTGCAGCTAACATTTTCCAACGCCTCTTAATCATGGCTTAATATACAATTACATTTTCATTTCTTTTAATTTTTATTTCATTTATCAAATTTTACAAAATACAATACAATTCAAATACAAACATAATTTCATGTTCATGTGAGAACACAAACTGTTCCGGAGAACAAGAAAAAGAAAAGGCCAAGAAAAAGAAAAGCAGAAGTTAGGGGTTGAAAATTAATACAAATAATTTTTGATGCCATCCTACTGCGGTTTGCATGTAAATATAATAAACAGATCCGGTCGACCGTATTTTCGTATATTGTGTCTTGTGCATATTCGTTTGTATGCTGTGGTGTACCAATATACAAAGATGGCAATTATTTAAACGTCCGATGTCGTTAATACAAGCATAATTCGCTATCGCATCTTGCAAATGAATATATTCTTAATTTTGCTTGGTCGAAACGAACAACATTAAGACGTTCAGTTTATATTTTGGCAAACATATCAAAGACGTACTGATGATAAAGTTTACCACATAGCAAGATAAAATGTTTTTCTTGTGGACGAACCATCAATCTATACTGTTCACGCCAGAAAGGCGCTTATTTTCGGGAGGCAGTGTGATCCCGAAAGTCTCCTTGTCCTTTTTTTTCTTATCGTTTTACCATAACCAATTTCTGACAATTGTTTTAAAAGCCCATGAGTTTGGATCATGAACTGGATCATTTTGTATATGAATATGCATATTAATGTTCAGTGTACATTTTTTTATAGATCTTCAAGAACTGATGACTTTCAACAGGCATTTATTTCATCAGCAGGTGTTGATCTAGGAATGACAGGCAATGTTTGACAAAAATCCCCTGACAGTAGTAATATCAAAGAACCACCAAAATGCTATTGATTTTACATAAATTTTGCATTGTTCGATTAAGTGTTCCTAGTAATTTTTTATTCGCCATTGAAGGTAGGTAGCTAAAACAGGTGAGGTTAGCGTCCGTGGTAACCTTCAATTAGAGCTGATCTCAATTTTTGTCCACACCCTCGTTTTTGGGCGTCCACTCAGTACCAGCCCGTGTCATTCAGGTAGGCTGACGCCCCTGGGTCCTGGGTTTTACCAAATATAACAAGCCTCTGGTTGCAGTACACAGATTGGGCTGAAATCTTTATGAATATTTGTTACAAATTAAGATTAATTCATTTAAAAAAAATTAATTTTTAAAAGATGGGCAATCGAAAAAATTAGTTTTTAAAGGGTGGGAAATCCTTTAAATTGATTTTTAAGGGGTGGGCAATTGAAAAAATTAAGTTTGTATGGTCTCAAGGTTCTTGCGCTGTAAAATGAATTAAACATTTTTTTTTGTAATAATTAAAAAAATGTTAAGCATTATAGGTTAAAAACATAAATTTAAAGGATTATGCATTTATTTATGCAAGCATACTTCGACGAGGAATTCAAAAATTCATAGTAAAACTCCGCGAATGGCGGCCATTTTTTTTGGTTTACCTTTTACGGTCGGTGTGACCGTAGTCATGTTACCAAAATAATCCAAGCAAAATTACACATATAGTGGTCTCTTTCAAGGTTCTAATAAAGTAGCCAATTAATGAGAAGAGCATTAGAGTGTCATACGGCCATAACCATTCTCTTCTTGTTCGGAAACTTGATTAAATGGGATTTCCGATTGATCTTCAGGCCGGACACAAAAGGTCCTTTTTAAAAATAAACTATCTAATGTTCTTAGGGTTACTACTGGCGTCCCGCAAGGGAGTCATTTGGGTCCCCTATTGTTTACATTATTTATCAACGATCCGCCCAATGATTTGACCAACTCCAGAGTACTTATGTACGCTGATGACGTCAAACTTTTTCTGCAATATAAGGACGCTTCTTGCCAGTCAGACATCCAGACAGATCTTAACAGTTTTCAAACATGGTGCCGCGTGAACCTATTTAACTTAAATGGCTAAAAATGCAAGCTAATGGCATTCTCCCGTGTCGTTCCTAAGCCTCCAACTTATACGCTGAACTGCTGCTCTTTAGAAAAAATTAATATAGTTGATGATTTGGGTGTCCATCTGGACTTTATCGATCATATTTCGTGCATGGTGAATAAATCCAGGAGTGTGCTTGGTTTCATTAAATGGTGGTCGAAGGAATTCAATGACCCCTATGTTACAAAAACTTAATATACTTCACTTGTTCGTCCCATCTTAGAATATGGATCCTGCGTTTGAAGCCCTCAGAATGACGGCCACAGTAAACGCATAGAATCGGTTCAAAAGAACTTCTTACTTTTCGCTTTACGCGGTTTAAACTGGGATGCAACCCACAGGTTGCCGTCTTATTCTAGTAGACTCTTACTAATTAACTTACCCTCTTTATCTAATGGTAGAACCATGTTAGGTTTTACATTCTTATATAACTTAATCCGTGATGACGTGGAAAGTGCTGACTTGCTGGGTCAGCTTAATTGAACTTAGTGACAGAAAATAATTCTATTGAACAGTCAAGTTGAGGCGTTTTTGGCGAGATAAACGGATTTAAATAAAACGTCACCATGCGTTGAGTGTTTTCATACTCAATAGTGCCAATTGTACAGTATTATCGGTTGGGAACACTGCCAGATATTAACATTTTCAGGTTCCAAGGGGGGAAATTTCCTAATCCCCCCCCCCCCCCCGTGGATCCGCAACTGTTAGTACGCTTGCCAACAACCAATCCGGCAGCACGCCAGTAGTAGTTTCCTCTTTTTCTATTTATTTCCTTCGCGCCTACTAACTGCTAACAGAACAAGAGCGTGCTTCGTGTCGCAAGTTCCACTTGATATCTACTGTACATAGTGCATCAACGTCTTGTATATATATATATATATATATATATATATATATAAAAACCAAAAATAAAAATAAAAAAATATGCTCGTGTGTGGGATCACACGAAGCATTTTTTGAATCACTCGCTCGCACCCTTTCGGCAGTAACAAAAAACCATCAGGTGCCAAATACACCCAGGTGTTTCTTATTGCAGCAAATAGGGTGCCTTAATCAGACGGGTGTCTGAGACACGTAATGTTGCGTTTAAAATTCTAACGTTGGCATTTGAGAGTTTCCAATATGCCCGTTGCCATTGCTACGACGAAGAATGTGAATGCGAAAACTACAATAACATAAATATGCAACAACAATAACTGATTAGTGCGGAGCGTGGAATGTGGCAATGCCGTGAGGTTACTCCAAAAACCACAGCGACAGAAGAATAGCGAGTTGATCCGTTATGCGAATGTGTCGTTAGCATTGGAACTTTTGCCAGATTATTAACTTTATTTGATTGCTTATTATTAACTTACGATGAGTACACTAGCGGGGCATGGATGTTCCCATTTGTATGCGATTATGATGATGTCGAGTTGTGAGGAGCGGGTCAAGGGAATCAATAAATACTTAATGCACTAAGCTTTTTCTGTGCTGCATAAGATATCAGGTTGGGGGTGCATAAACTAACTGCAATTTATTAATCAAAGGCCAAAGAACAACCGTTTTCCAAGATCTGACATCAGGAACTGCCGTTTATTAACAGCAGTAAAATCACATAAGGTTGATAATAGAGAATTTAACAGAGTTTGATAACTGCATGTTAATGAACTTTGTTTACATTTGTGTAGTTAAAGAGAAACAGTTTGGGAGATGCCATATTATAAGAGTTTGACCGAACAATCACTTCACAAAAAATAATCTTAAATGCAATGCATTACGCTCGCAATGATCTTAAGAATCTAGAAACAAAAAATATTTTATCTTTTTGCATAAAAAATATGTATACTCTACAGGGTCTAAAATATACCCTTCACTGCGTTGCAAACTTCTGACTAAAAGTATATACCCCTCGGTATGAAGAGGATACGATAAGGATAGATTTTAGATTCATCCCGAATTGTGCTAAGAATGCAAATATGTATATATTTTGTAAAATTATATATTTATACGTGATCAGCAAGTAGAGCTAGGGCCACCCAATTAGATATGTTAACAACATATGAATTAACCCATTTATTTAAGCATAATTGTTTTCTTTTTATATTTTCAGCAAAGGACAAGTAATCTCCGGACCATCGGCAAATACAACGGGCAGTGTTCCTCTATTACTCTGCAATGTATCTGATTTAAAAGATGTATGTATCAGAAAAGTCAAACCAATTATTACATTGTTGCTAATAGAAATATATCTATCAGGATCAAATGTCAAGTGACCAAGGAAAAGGATCTGCTACTGGGACACAGTGGGTTTATTCGGTTAATGTTGCAGAATTCCGAAGTTTGGTAAAAACTCTAGTTGGTGGAGTCAAGACCATTACATGGGGATTTTTTAATTCAAAAGTATGTTTTCCTATATTGTTTACATATATGTATATGCTATGCTTTCCTTATGTCTAAAAAAGTTTCAGATATCTGACACATGCAATGTTAACCACGAAAAGCTTTTTGGCCCGGAAATTTTATGTTCTTATATCGAATTGGTATATTATGCTATGGAAGCCTTGGATATTTATACTATAAACGTTAATCCAACCCAACAACGAACATCTGGATTGATATCAAGAAGTAAAGAGGAAAAAGAAGTATTAGAGCATTTTAGTGGAATTGTAAGTATATCATAGACTATTATATTGTTTTTATTCAAGCTTTCCTTAAAATATTTTCCGATACAAAATGCAAAATTTCCCGCACGCATACGATTAGAACAGTTAACCAATTTTAATTGATAGATTTTATATATATATATATATATTAAAGTTATATTCCAACCTTATTTAATTCAAAAATGAAAAATACAAAAAGAAATACTCTTTATTTAACCCTTTTAACTTAGAAATTTGAGCTGTTGTTTTTAATTAAGTGATGAACATCTATTTCTAAGACTAGTCGATCCATTATAGATTGATTTCATAACCAAAACTTTATTAATGGTCAAAATATTAAAATAAGCTTCGGTGTCCGAAGTCAAAGTCACAAACTGAAAGTATATAATTTTTTGTATTTCTTATTTTCTTTTACAGTTTCTAATGATGCATTCTCAAAACTTCCAAGAAATTTTTTCGACCACAATTAATTTTTTGGTTGAAAGGATCTATAAAAATCAATCCTTACAAGTGATAGCTAATTCGTTTTTAGCTAATCCAACAACATCACCTCTTTTTGCAACAGTGTTGGTGGAATATCTACTAGAAAAAATGGAAGAAATGGGATCAAACTTGGAGCGTTCTAATTTGTACCTACGATTATTTAAGCTAGTTTTTGGAAGTGTCAGTCTCTTCCCCGTTGAAAATGAACAAATGTTGCGACCGCATCTTCACAAAATAGTCGTTCGTTCTATGGAACTAGCCTTGATTTCTGATGAGCCGTATAACTACTTCTTACTTCTTCGGGCATTATTTAGGTCAATTGGAGGAGGCAGTCACGACCTGCTTTATCAAGAGTTTCTGCCTCTTTTACCAAATCTTTTAGAAGGTCTTAATCGTTTACAGAGTGGATTTCATAAACAACATATGCGAGATCTTTTTGTAGAACTATGTCTTACTGTCCCAGTTCGTTTATCATCTTTATTACCCTATCTGCCAATGTTAATGGATCCCTTAGTTTCTGCATTGAACGGATCTCCCACCTTAATTAGTCAGGTAAGTGTTAATATAATACCACTCTGCTTTTAAAATCATATTTCGGTGTGTTCACTCGAATAACATGATCAACATTAACTTTGTATGATTATGCTCTACATTATATATAATTTAAAATAAACAATGCTGAAGGCAAATGAAAGACAAAATGTTACGCAACAGTCAAATAATGATCAATGTTGTAGATGTTACAAAAATCTACTTTTTCAACAATATATTGGACGTATTTATAGCTTTAGTCGCTATGGCTGTGCGAAATCTAGCTGTTTTAGCTGAGCTAATCTAGCGAGCAAAACAATTGTAGAGCAATAATTAATTTGAGGTTTCTTTGGTGTTTTACCTAAGAGTGAGCAAGATGACTACACGCACTTTTAATGAAACTTCTTATGCATTGGTAATGCATTTGCTGAGAAAATTGATAGACATACAAAAAATAATTGTTGCCAATTTAGGGCGATAGCAAATATACTGCTCTAATAAACCAAAATTTTATAGCTCTGTAACGACAGGGTAAAAAAGTTTTGCAGCGATAAAATGGTCGTTGGTCGATAATTGTTATCTATAGTCGATAGCAGAGCTTGCAAATAACTGTCGACAGTTTTTTTTCTTGTGATCTCGTTGAGAACAAGTTTATACTCCCTCGCTCTCGCTCTGAGCAAGGTTTGCTGTCTTCATTTCTGTTTTTCTGTTTTTTTTTTATTTATTTATTTTGGTTAACAAGTGTCCATACAACAAAATGCTATTAAAAGAAAAAAAAAATGTTTCAAACAATGGTGGGTGCTGCTTATCCAGTGCAGCACAGTCTTCGAATCCGTCCATAGTACGCAGCCGCTGATCGCCACACCGTGCTCCTGCTTGACGGTGTCCATCAGTCTCGTACCCAATACTGCTGCTTGAAGTTCCAGACGGGGAATCGACATTGTCCTCATCGGAGCGCACTTCGTCTTGGAACATACGAAATGCGCCTGCACGTCTCCGCTCTCGTATGTGGCCCGCCAATAGGCCACTGCTGCAAACGCCGTCTGGCTGGAATCCACGAAGATGTGCAGCTGTAGTGCCCGCACTCGTCCAGCGCCGAAATAGTAGAATTCTTCAATGTTGCTCATGCCTTGCCGCCAGCTCTCAAAGGCTGCGGCCAACTCTTCTGGTAACTGCTCGTCCCAGCCGACTCCTTTCCGCTAAATCTCTCGCATCAATATCTTGGCGGTGACCATATAGCAGCTCAAAAACCCGATCGGGTCGAACGTGGACATGACCAGGCTCAGGAACTCCCTCTTCGTGGGGACGCGTTCCCCTGTCATCACGCTCCTTGGGACTCGATGGTATTTGACGGCGAACTTGAAGTCGTCTGTTGCCGGTTGCCAGTACATTCCAAGTACCTTCTCCTCAGCTTCGGTCCATCTGACGCTAGCGATGGATTCAAGTGGGTTCAACGCACTGACCACACTTGCCGAACTGGAAGTAAATCGACACAAATCAAAACCAGCATTTGCGTATATTTCTCTCACCCGTGTCGAGACGGCGATGGCTTCTGCTTCACTGGCAAAACTGTCGACGTAGTCGTCCCCACGTAGTGATACTCGTTGATCGACAGGACTCCTCGCGGATCCGTGCTGCTGTAGTGCGAAGCATTCACGGTCTTCACATAATCCGCCGAGCATGGTGAGCAGGCAGCTCCGAACGTTATTACCTGCATCTCATATATGACGGGATCCCAACGATCGTCTCCGTTTCTCCACAGGAACCTCTGGGCGCATCTGTCCTGTGGTCGCATCAATACCTCATGAAACATCTTGATGTCTGCACAAACCCCAACTGCTCCTTCCCGGAAATGGAAGAGCACCGCTGGGAGGGGCTTGTAGCGCTGTGGGCCTTTCATCAGCGCTGAATTCAGTGACACGCCGTTCACCTTGGCAGCCGCGTCGAAGACCAGCCGGATTTTTCCAGGCTTGTTCGGGTTTTCCACGCCGAAGTGCGGCAGGTACCTTGCCGTCCTGGGACCTCTGGACTTCCGGGGCTCCAGTCGTTGTGCGTAGCCTTTCTTTACGTAATCATTCACCATCGTAGGCCCGCGCGAAGTCCACATCGCGCTTCATTTTCCGTTCAATGTTGACGAGTCTCTTGAGTGCCATACTGTAGCTCTCTGGCAGTCTCACCTCGTCTCATATCGTTGGCCTACTCGCTTAGTCGTCTCCTCCAGGATACTCAGGGCCCGCGCACTAGCGCCTCTCGAACAATTAGCGTTGCAAAAATCGAAAAAGTCATGTTCGCAAAAACGATACTTATTCGACAGAAAATTTCCCAAGGATTCGGAATCTGCAATAAAATCTATTTTAATATTTTTTTTGTAGGAGATATGAGCATTCAAAGTTGAACTTTCTTTTGTTTTTTGCATCATACCAAAACAAAATACATAGGTAAAATGGTCGAGTTACAGGTAATGGTTTTTACTTTAAATTATAGATACATTCATAAACTATTAATTAACCCAAAAAAACGGCACTTTGGTTTGGGCTTGTACAGGTAAATCGCTACCTGCCAGGTGTCCTTTTTTTTCACCTGAAAGCCACCGACTACACTATGTCTACAAATTACGTGGATCTCTCCTGGAATTAACTTTCATCGGCTGCGTCGAGCTGCGTCTGCGAAAATGCAACGACATAAACCAAAGCTACTCATATACCAATATACCGACACAATTTCATACATTCCAAGAAATATACTAACTGTAGCGCGTGGCGGTTACATTTTGAATTAAAAAAAAAAAATCTTCCCGACGCAAGCTCTGCATCGGAAGGTTTAAATTGGCTACTCCGTAAACGTTCTTTAGCCCATGTCTCTTGGGTTTGGCCGCTGCACTGATCTGCAGGCTAATTATCCTTGTGTGCTCTTTGGCGGACTTTCCGCCAAACCACTGCACGTTCAGTTGTCGACTCTCACCTTTCAGGTTCAGGCTGCGGATGAGTTCGTCGTCGATGAGCGTGACAGACGACCCTTCATCCAGCAGTGCCTAGGTGTCTACCTGCGTATTCTCCCCGTACAACGTCACGGGCAAAATACGGAACAGCAGGTGACCTCCATCCGAATCGACACAACTCAAGTTTCGGTGCGATAATTCCTGGCGATCGCATGTCGAACGCCTCTCATCCTCCTCACGTCCCGCGTCTAAAACTGCGGCTGGCGTGGGCCGGGTATTCTCGTTGGAATCCACTAACTGTGGCATTCGTATCCGTCGGCTGCTGTCTCTGTCTCTGTACAGCTGCCGGTCTTGACTGCTCTGCTGATCCCTCCTGCGGCCTCCATCTGCGACTGGCGGCCGTCTGGTTCATGGAGTAGGTAGTGATCCGGCATCCGTAGACGTTGCATTCGCGGCCTTTCTTGCAGAACCGGGCCATATGTCCATACTCAAGTCACGAAAAACATAACCTCAACTTCCTCGCGGACTCGATCCGCATCGTCGAAGAAGCGTGGTTGAATTCCTTGCAATCTTTGATCTCGTGTTGTCCCTCACACATGGGGCAACGTTTGGGGCGGTCTGCATACCGCTCCTCCTAGGGGACGCTATTCGCGTCCAACACCCGTCGCATCGGGCGCTCCTTGATTCCGACGTCCGTGACTGTGCACACCAATTTAGCGAATTCATGAAGCCACTCGCTCAGGTGCACCACTGTCGGGTATGGCTGTATCGTAGCCGCGTGCTTCGCCCAGTCCAGCCTTTTGCTCACAGGCAACTTGGCGACCAGCTCCTCGATCAGGGTTGGGTTACCCAGGTGCTGGTTGCCGGTCGTGGTGGACTGCAGGAACGCTGGCAGGTTGCTCACCCTTGTAGCGAACGGCACGATCCTTGCGATATTAGCCTCCATGATTGGCTGCACATCGCGCACGCTCTCCAATTGGTTACGGATCAGTAGCTCAGGACGTCCATACCGGAATCGTAGCTGCTCCATAACAGCTTGCACATTTCTGGGGTGGATAAGCAGCGACTTCACTGCTGCTCTGGCTTCACCCTTCAGGGCTTTCACTAGCCTCTGATTATTCTCCAATTCTGTACACTGGTAAGCTGCCGTTGTCTCCGTGAACGCACACAGGAATATTGGCCATTCCTCTGGCTGACCTTCAAACTCGGGAAGATCAGGCAATCTTCGTGGCGTCCACCCAGGTATGCTCGTTGTCGCTGCTCCATATGATAGGGGCGATGGCATAGATACCTCCAAATTGTGTGTTGGCTCCCGTGGCGGCTGAACGTAACCTAATTCAGGCTGCGCCGTGGCGGTAACACAATATGGCGGAGAATAGCTCACTGTTGTTGTTGCACAGGTCCGTGTGACGGGTTGCCCGTTTGCCCAATGGCCGTCGAGCGGCCAACTCAACTCAATTGTGGCGGCATATTTGCACTGAATTGTGCCGGCAACTGCTCATCCAAAGATGGCGTCACTCTAAGCTCCGGTTGCAGATTGTCACTCATCTGCCTGGGCAGGCTCTCACTCGAGCCCTGCCGTGGTGCTGCTCTCATACGTGTCAGCATTCCACTCGAACATGCCGCTTCACTGGCAGCTTTTCCGCTCAAATATGCCGCTTCACTGGCAGCATTTCCACTAGTGGAGTTTGTAATCTGTCCCGTTGCTGTGGGCCGCAGATTACTTGCCGCTTCACTGGCAGCCTTTCCACTCAAACATGGCGGTGTATTCGTCGCACCGCTCACTCCAACGCCGCGTGTCCCGATTCTAACGGGATCCCTGGCGGCTTCTGCTTGTCCTTCATTTGCCTTTGCCTTCGCTAGCTCCGACTCTAGACGTGCGATCCTTTCCATTAGGGCCGCCACTTGTACAGTCGTGGAGTCCGTAATCTGCCCCGTTGCTGTGGTCCGCAGATTACTAGCCGCTTCACTGGCAGCTTTTCCACTTTCCTTCGGAGTCTGTGGGCGCTGTCGATCACCAGCCACACTCGCAGAGCTGGCCGCTTTGCCAGTTGCTGTGGTCGTGGGTGTCGCAGTTGCGGGA